CCACCTGCAGCTGCATCGATCATAGTTTTAGTAGAAAAAACTAAACCATTATAGAAGGTTTGTATGATTAACCACTCCGGCAGTCCATGATATAGACATTTCCGAAGCAAATCTCTAAACCTTTCCCATGCCTCATATAATGATTCACCTTCCAATTGGCTAAAACTAGTGATATCCATTCTAAGCTTAGCAGTCTTACCTGGTGGAAAGTACTTATTTAAGAATGCTCTTGATAATTCATCCCATCCAGTGAAAGTATTAGGAGCATGAGAGTGTAGCCAAAGTTTGGCCTTATCTCTCAATGAAAATGGGAACAATCTTAGCCTTATAGCATCATCACTAACTCCATTCATTTTAATTGTATCACAAATTTCCAAGAATGTAGCTAAGTGTGTATTAGGATCTTCTACTGCATTACCTCCAAATTGAGATTGTTGAACCATTTGGATAAGCGCTGGTTTAATCTCAAAATTGTTAGCATTTACCGTAGGCCTTGCTATGCTTGTTTGAGATCCTTGTGTTCCCGGTAGAGCAAAATCTCGTAGAACTCGCCTATTTGCGTCGTTTTCGGCCATTTCTTCTTCAAATGGTAGTTCTATCAAAATTTCCTCTATTGGTTGCCAAATCTCTTGTTCCTCTTGCTGTTGTGTGTGCCTCCTTTGTCTACGTAGTGTCCTCTCAATTTCTGGATCGAAAGATGCGACTTCTCGATTTGATCGGTGCATACACTACAAACAAAAACAAGAGAAACTTTTTCAGTTTTAATCCAACAACTTGAATAAAAAAAAAAACACTGAAAAATATCTAAATTAATAGAGATGATTAGGCCCTAATATTGCCGCTCCCCGGCAGCGGCGCCAAAAACTTGACGGGATCTTTATATATTAATGCAAGTTTAATTCCGATTTTACACCCGTTGGACTGCAAGTATACAGGTCGCAATTGTAGTACAAGATGTGTATCGGGTCGATCCCACGAGGAGCAAATTAAACAATTACTAAGCCCTTGTTTTCTCTATTATTTAGACTTACAAATAATTTGAGCAGAAAAAGTATAATGCTGTAATCTACAAATCTGATATACAAATCTAGTTTAACAAATGCTTAATGCAAATAGAGAAATTTCACTTAAGGAAGATTCTAGGGATGTAGATTCCACTTATGGCATAAACTACACAAATGAATGGATTTACTTCTTGCTATTATTCTTGCTTAACCAGAGATTCATTTCCAAATTTACCAAGTCTCATTTTCATGATGAAATGGCCTAGAGCAATATAGATTTCCCTATTTTCATGGTGAAATGCTTCTACTACTCCGTTTTATTTCATGAAATGCTCAATAATCCACTTAAGTGTATCTCTATTTTCATGAACATACAACACAAGCTCTACTCATGTGTTTCAATTGTTATTACCAATTCTCATTGAATAATAACACTATAAACATGCTATTGGTGATCAATCAATAACAAGTAATCACAGCTACACAAGTAGACAAGTTAATACAAGATATAACAAGTGTAGATCACATTCAATTAGTATTATTTAGCCATAAGTTTCATCTACTCCCTAGATGAAGGAGTTTAGCTACTCATGAATGATTTAACAATCAAACTCACAAGTTTATGAATACAAAACCTCATAAAGTACAAGTATAAGAAAGATAAAAGAAAGCTTAGCCAATTGAAGGTGAAGCTCTCCAATTCCTGCTATGTTCTTGCACAATATGATTATAAGTGAAACTCTCCAAGTACTTCTCCAAGAACTCCTATCTAGAGAGAAAACTAGATACAAGAAAGAAAACTAGCTACGTATGGTTATCCAGGCTTCTCCTCTGTTTTTCTGCATAAAAGGTGGGAGAAATTCCATTCCTCTCACTTCATAATTTCCTCCACTCAGATTTTGTAAAAAGAAGTCAAAGATATGATATGTTCTTTTTTCCATACTCATTTGGTCTTCTCTTTTGTTGCAGAAGCATGTGCCACCGATTTCTGTCCCTCAAAATAGCTGGAAAGTTGTGAAAAAGGTAAAGAAAAACGGCTGTGACACTTGCTGAGGAGAGAGACAGATCCGAGCCTCGGATCCGAGGAGTGAAAATGGATCCGAGCTCGGATCTTCAGGATCCGAGGGATTTCATAATGGATCCGAGGTCGGATCGTCCTGACCTCGGATGCTCTCCGCCAGAAGTACAGACGAGGGTTCGGATCCATCTTGTGCACACGGATCCGAGCTCGGATCCGTGTTGACCAATTTCCAGTTTTTCACTTCTTCTCTTTTTCTACATTTTTGCTCCCAATTTCTTGTGTACTTTGTCCTCTGGATGACCCTTACATTTCTTTGAACTTGTGCATGAATTTCATACATCAATTACCTTCACAATTTCACAAGATTAACGCATTAATTCACTCATTTATCAATTTTTGAAACCTTAATCAATATTTAAGCAATTATCACCAAAAGAGTTCAAATATAGCTTTAATCTTCTCAAAACATACCAAAAATTCATGCCAAATTCGTACAAAATGTACGTTAAATATTCACTTATCACATGTCAGGGGGAGTCTTCGATAAATAATTTCTTTCTTTTATATGGCTTAAGTTTATAGATGAGGGGGATAATTCACCACATAGAAAGATTGTACAAGAAGGCTCACCATTGCATTGCTGCTGCATGCTTTTTGAGTGGGCTCATTTGGTTGATTGCTTGATTATAATTTTTGGTGCACAGTGTAGGGCTTGAACATTTGACAGGACATTTGAGAATGAACCTTGGTGTTCAAAGATGACAGTGAGTTTCTTTTTGTTTTAGAGCTATTCTTTTCTGGTAGCTATTTGAGTATGTCCCAAACCATTTTTGTCTGAGGTGCTAATCATTGGTTGGTACTGCATTCACAGTTGGAGAGTCAAGAGCGTGCACCAAAAACGTTTTGGATGTTCTTCATTGACAGGGCATATGCCTGTTCAAAGTCAATATATTGTTGGTGACCTTTGGGTTTTATATGTATTTAGAAGTTTCATACACATTTTTGGTTCATCTGTTGCTCAAAATGGCTTTGGCCTAATTGTGGTCAAATGTCATCCATATGTGGGCATCTGTTTTGAATACCTTTTTTATGGGAGTTAAAAGCTCTAATATGCCATCATTGATGCTTTCGAATGGCTAGTGTTCTATTGCAGTAAGCTATAACATTGCTTTGTTTTAAAACTGTGATTGACATTTAATATGATTGGTGAGGTTTCCCATTGTTATTTGTACAGATTAAGGTGCCTCTTGGTGATTGTGATGCTATCCATGTCAGGTGAGGTGATAAATTGAAAACTCATAAGGATAGGTTCGGCATTGATCGGTCTTGGTATCCTTATCTTGACGGGGATACCCGTCCAGAATTTATTTCCTGAAGAATTGGAAAATGGGTCCCACCAGGATGAACTTTTTTTATTTCTTCAAATGAGAGAACCCCAGCTTTCTTTTCCCCTCTTGCTTCAAGGTATATTACATTCCACTCTGATCCCTCTGAACTTTATATGATTGTTGTCTTGGGAATAACAGTAGATCAAAATTTTGTATATCCTTTGCAACCCTCCCCCTCCTTTCTTCTCTCTTCTTCCTTCAAACTCTTAAAAAACAGAGAAAAAGAAAAAGGCCTTGTACTTGTCAAATATTTCGAGAAATTGCTTGGCCTTGGTAGTTGTTTGAGTTCTAATACCGTTGCTTGTGTCAATCTTCTTTCTGCCCAGGAGTCATTTTTTAGGTGCAAAATTTTCCTCTTGAATTATATATTGGTTGTGCTAAGCTACTTGGGAAAAGTAGCATTACCTTTTTGTGTCTTTTCTCATAGTTATCTAATGTACAAATACCCTCCTGTCTGTCTTGCAAGTGACTTAGTAATGTTACTATTATATACAAAATAACATAAAAGCAACTCCTATGTAGTTGAAATGTACTGAAATTAGCATGTCTGATTGCTTCAAACTGGTTTGCCATACTCTTCGCTATTCTCCTAATTCTATGTCTGAATTAGCAACCATAAATTGCATGCTTTTCCAATATTTTTATTGTCTGCCTATCAGGACAATCTATAGAGTTGTATGTAGTGGTAAGATTCAGGTGTGGTCCAAGATTAGTGTAGAGTGAGAAAGATGTGGATGATAAAAGCAGTAGTTGGAATGCATACTAATCTGCTGGTGCTTTTAAATTTTCAATGGGAGGTGGCTGGAAGAAGAAGAGATGTTCTATTGTTGTGGTTGTCCTAATGATTGCTTCTAATGCTGCTTAAACTTTTCTTTTGGGGTGTGTGTGTGTGCATGTGGAAGATGGAAAGAATACCGAGATGTGGCAGATTCGTGTTTATATCGTGTTGTCATGTTGTGGACCAACTGGAGGGAATGGTGCATCTCCTGTTGAATTCGCGATTCTTGCTGCTCTTTGCACAAATTATGGGTTACTCCTATGAAATTCTTCCATTGCAGGTGAGCTCAGTGTTGTATATTGTGGGTTGACATTTTCTTTTAAACTACATGTAATTTTCTAAATGTAATTGACATCTCCGAAGAATGTTTTTGAGTGGTCGTTGCAAATGCTTGTAGGGTTTCTTCTTCTTCTTGGAAGGAAAATGCAGTGTCGGATTAAATGGTTTAAACAATTCCAGAAATCAAACTATTGGAAGTTAGTATAAAAGTCTTAAAATTTGACTGAACTGCATTGCAAGCATACTTATGGAGCCCTGAAATTCAAACCTCTACTCCACTCTCTCACCCAAGATTCTTAAGCTTGGGTTTGCCAGAGAGACTGATAATTGTGATATTTTCACCAGAACTATGTATAGTAGAGTGATAGTAACTTAAAGACAAATTCAAAGGGTCAAAATGAAATCTAAGCAGAAATATATAATTGAATGATATTTTCACGAGAACTATACATAATAAAGTAATAGCAACTAATTAAAAGACAAATTCAAAGGACAAAAAAGAATTAGGATATCTATACTTTGAAATCCACTTAGAATAGCTTCATTATTTATATCTAAAGGACATGATACAACACATAGAATACATTTATAGTTTGAAAGTCATGATACAATGCAGACAATACATTTATTGTGTAAAGCCATAATACAATACATAGAATACACTTATTTTTAGAAAATCAAGGACAAAAGTAGGCAAAACATAATGCTTATATAAGTTCCACACTTATTGTATTAACCCAACTAAGATTTCCATCCATATCCAACAGCCTTGTCCACCAGTCAAGATCGTAGTAGCCGGACCCATATTACTCAATCAACTTGATGACTCCTACAGTATTGTGTGGAAAAAAAAAAGCATGAATATTGTAACTCGATGATGCATAATGTCCAAAACAAATGTACATTGTTATATATTGGAATTACTGTATCAATTTGTCACTCAGACTTGTGTAGCTATAGTTTACTTTTTGTTGTCTCTGTTTCAAGATTTTTTTAGCAACTCCTACATGGAATATTCACTTATATCTTTGAAGAGATTGGAGCTTTGAAAGGTGAAATACAAAGGTTTGCATTTTTTTCATAGTGGAAAACAGGATTTAACAGCATTAGCTTTATCTAAAATAGTAATATTAAGATCAAAGAAGCTAATAAGAAAACCAGCAATGTGAACTCAAAGTTTATAGAAGTATCATTAAATATGTATGTGACCTGAAAATCTGTTCAAAGCTTTACATAAATATTTGGAAAAAGCAAACCATATTAACTCAAAAACACGAAACCATATTAATTTCAAAACTTAGGGTAATAATGTCTTCTAATCAATCAGCTTCTATTGTCATATAGTATTATTCATTGATTCACTCATATAGATCAAAAGCATAAATGCACCGGCTTGTAATAATAACCTCCATTCCTCCCAAACCAAAAAGGAAAAAGAAAAAGATATAAATATTTAGGAGAAAGGGAATAGATAAAATTTGTGAGAATATAGAAAGACATACCTTAATGTCCATTCAAACAACTCCATCATCAGGACAAATCTCTCTATCCTGTAAAATATGCTCAAAAATAATTATTCAAAATATACATTTGCGACACTTAGGAAACTAAGTTTAGTGAAGTGAGACAAATATGCTCAGAAATAATTATTCAAAATATACATTCTCGACCCTTAGGGAAACTAAATCTAGTGAAGTGAGACAAAATTAAAAGGGTTGGTTGAAAATAGAGCTAGAATATTGGTACCTTTAAATCCACAGGAGCTTCAAAATTCTCTATATCTCTCGACTTTGTTTGGATTTTTTTAAGCAATGGTGCATCCAAATTTCCGAAACACAATTTCTTCAACTTTGGGCAACTCATTATGAACAATTTAGTGAGCAGGGGAAATTTAAACTCATAATCCTCCCGATGACTACCACCAAAGTTTCGAAGATTCTTAAGGTCTTCCAACCACAAAGAGTTTAATTTAGGAAACACAAATGCCTTGCTGATTCTTTCCAGTGCAATTTCTCCATGTTTTCCAGCATCATGTTGCTGAGCATTATCTTCTTGGCTGACCTCTTCATCTTCCTCACCTATAACTCCACACATTTTCGAGCACCTACGAACTTTCAGTTTCTCAAGACTTATGAGCATCGTAGCCACACTTGGAGGATAAAACAAACAGTTTAAAGGGCAATAGTCTACACGTAGACTTCTTAAATTTTGGAATATTTGAACCCCTTCAGGAAAATTCCTCCAAATATGGGTTAACCTTTGACAGGCAAATAAGTCCAGTGACTCTAGTTTGGGAAGAATTTCAAGTCCCATTTTTGATAGCATATTAGGAACTTTTAGACCCTCAAAGTCGATAAGGTATTCCATGTTACCCCACCACCGCTCAAGTGTTTGCAAGTTTTGTAATAGTGAAACCGTATCAGCTTTGGCAATGCATTGGATAGAGTCACCATGGTAGAGATGCATAGATTTTAAGTTGTCAAGAGACCTACTAGGCATTTTACCTCCTATTAGTAGTTCGGGGCCATCACCAGGACTATTTATCTTTAGTATTTCCAAGCGAGGGAGTGAAACCTGGAAAATTTGGTAAAACTTAGCGTGGACCACGGCATAATGTTGATTACAAAATGCAAAATGTAGTTACAGTAGAGTTTGGATCCGTGCAGCTGCTAGCAGTCTATGAAAAAAAAAAAGGAAAAATCACTTGCAGGGACGTTCATTATGCATAGACGGGTGTGTTCATGTGCCAAAGAACCTTTAAAAAAACTAATTATTAATGATGAAGGCCTAGAGTATAATTGATGAAACATTGATTTTGAAAATATGATTAACATATTGTAAAAGGAAGTGCTCGAGTGTGTTTTTAGTTGTTCACCTGAATTCAACTATATCAAGTATAGGATATAATTATTACACAAATAGAAAGAGAGAGGCGATACCTGGTCAAAAAAAACCCCAGCCTTACTATCTTTGGAGCCGAAACCCATCAAGTTTGTCCACATAAGTCTCAAGACTTTGAGTTGGGGTAGCTCAAGTACTTCCTCTTTCAAACTTTCCTCTCTCAAAACAATGCTCTCCAAATTTTTACAGTCATAAGCTACTAACTTCTGGAGTTTCACCAAACATTTCAATGTTGATTGTGAGAAGAGAGTTGTAATTTGAGCACAGTTTCTTACCTCAATAGATCTGAGGTTGCAAAATGATGGAGGTTCGATTGGCCCCTTCAACAAAAACTCCAAAGCACTTACATAATTAAGTTGCACCTCTCGGAGTTGACTGAAGCACCAAGGTGGAAGAAATCCATACCATATTTTGTTCAACTTCAGATCTCTTAACTTCATGGACACCAAATTTTCAAAAACATGTCGAGCAATAGGATTGGTGGCAGAATCAATGAGACATTCATATTGTCCTTTGTTCAGATCAAGCTTTTTCAAGTAGATAAATCCATTTCCACCCAAGTGAGGCACAATATTCCTCAAGCATGATGATCCAGAAAGATCCAAAGTGAGATTCTTAGTTCTCTCGATAATGCCAATAACTTTAGGATCAAACATTTGTTTCAATGCTTCAATGCTAGACAAATCATCCAACGGTTCATCATGAGAGAAATAAAGTTCGAAGCTATTCTGAAATTGGTAGTTTCTGCTCAGATCTGACAATTTTCTTCCATACTTACCTACTACAATATGAAATCTTGACAGTTTCTAAGTATCAAATTCCTGCAATAGTAGAAGTAGGAGGTTAAGGTCACATAAATCAATTTGGAGACGTGTGAGGTTAGAGATTGATGAGATTTCTTTAAGGCATCCTCTTTCCTCTTCTTTATCTCTCCCTAGCTGCAACTGACAATGAAATCCCAAATACAATTCTTCTAGTTTCTTCAAGCTTGACAAGATACCAACAGGCAAGGGGTGGAGGCTACTTTCAACCCTCAAATCCAACAACTTTAAATTGCTCGACCAAGTAATATCAGCTGGAAACCGATCATCCTGAATTTCGGATGCAAATAGGCTCAAAGTTTCCAATTGCATCATCTGTCCAAGCATTGATGACATTCCAGCGCCCAAGTAACAATTATCCAGGCACAGTGTCCGAAGGCTCCTTAACATTTGGCCAGGCCATGATACTGCAAATTCTATATGGAAGAAGTTTAACTCCATGACCTTGAGAGCTTCCATTCCTAAGAAAGAATCTTTTGGCAGGTCCAATTTCCCTAATTCAAATGCCCAATCAAATTGGAATACCAAACGCAACAGCATAAGCCTTGGATATTCCTTGCAAAATGGAAGTACATTATGATTGGAATCTTGCGATATTAGTGAAATTGCTGTGTAAGAATTCTTTTCTCCCACTCCAGCATTGCTCACTAAAAACTCATGCTCTGCTTTTGATGCAATTGACAAGCAAACCTCTCGCACGACATCATGTAATTTTACATGGTCTTCTTTTTCACCATCATTTAGCAACAAATAGGAGCTTTCTAACTCATCAACCAGCATGTCTACTTTGTCTCTTGCATCTCTCAATGTCTCCATATCTTGGAACAGCTGTAGCCCTTTTCCATACCTAACCAAGCATTCGATCGGAATACTATAATCCTCTGGAAACAAACTACAATGCAAAAGTAGGTGCTTAGCTTCAGCAGTTTCCAAATGATTATAGCTCCATTCAATTCTTGAAAACACCAAATCTTGAACTCCTTTTAGGTTTCCCATTCTGTCCTTTCTTAGTTGTCGAAGGGCACGATTCCAGGATTCCAGTGTATGATTGCTCCTTAATGCCCTAGCAACAACAACGATTGCAAGAGGTAAACCTTTGCATTCCCCTGCAACCTGTTTCGCAACATCGTTCAAAATGAAATCATCAGAAATTCCCGCCTTCTCTTTAAAAAGATGCCAAGCTTCTTCCTCAGGCAACATATTGACCACAATAATTTCAGCTCCCATAATACTACACATATCAAAGAGCCGAGATGTCAATATTACTTTTAAGCTCTTGCATTCACCTTTGACGGGAATTCCTAGACTCTTAAAATCAACTTCTTTCCAAATGTCATCCAATATAACAAGAGTTCTTTTATCACTATTGGTTAGTCTCTTATACATTCTTTCAGCTCTTAAACAATCCGTTTGCTCAGATATTGTCAGCCCTAACTGCTCAGCAAGTTGATTTTGGACACTCCTCATGTCTGGAGTTTGAGACACCGTAGCCATGGCAACGTCATCAAACAATTTCTCAAACTTAACCTGATCGGCTATTTGGTTCACCAAAGTAGTCTTGCCTACACCGGCCATACCACAAATCGCCACTAGGCTTGTTTTCTCCTGTTTTAAAGCTTCCATCACTTCCTTCTTTGTTGACATCCTAGAAACTAGGCCTTTCTCTAAGGATGGAGTTGATTCACTAAAACGCATTTTGCCTAATGGAGCAATGCTTCCAACTTTATCAAAATTCCCCTCTGCTAAAAGATTTTCTAGAACACTCATTTTTTTCGCCGCACGTCGGCCTAGCATATACCGTGACTTCAAATTTGGAAGCCTAACAATATTAAAGCAATTCACCTTAGCAGTCTCCATACCCTCAAAAATAGTATGTGCATCTTTCTTGACATCCTCAACTCGTTTCAGCCAATCAACAACAGTTGGTTTAATTTCTTCAGCATTGTCTTTTGCTCGATCTACCTTTTGTTGATGTCATCGCTCAGAGTTTGAACGTTGCTTTTGTAGAAAATTAAGTACTGAAATTGATGCCAAATTGGATCGACACACTTCTCTACAATTGTTCCCAGAATTGAATTGACAATTTCTTGGATGGCCATTATTGCAAAATTCTGTTCAAATTTCTATTACTGTGTTATTTGAAAAGTAGAGAAAAGGGATCTAATGAATTGCATGAAAAATATGAAAAAACTTCAGAAATACATAATTAAGGTAATAATAGTTACGAAAGAGTACAAGTACAAAGGCAGAAAAACAATGTTAGCTCATTGAAGTAAATTTAATGAAATGATTTTGGAAAAGCAAACGTAAAGGATACAAGTAACTTAGAAACTTTTCTCACCAACAAATATTTTTTTTAGCATAGATTATTTTGGAATTTTCTAGAACTATTTTGGAAAATACATGAGGTACAGTTTGGTGCAAAGTTATATTACATTTTCAAATGTTTGACAAAAATGTAAGTTTTCATATGTCCAACAACTGATGAAATATTATGAATATACAATCTTAGGGATAAAAATTCCGCTTTACTGAGTATGTTAGCCTCCATAAAGTGTGTGAACATATATATGAAAGAAAACTGAAAAGGCAAGTATTAATGATGCTTATATATATTTGTACTCGTAGGAAAAGTACACCCTATGCATGTGAAGAAAAAATAGTTTAATTATTTTTGTTAAAACCAAGGGAAGTTATTAGGCTTTTTTTTTGGGGAAAAAAAGAAGTTATACTTTTTTAGGCAAAAAAAAAAACAGAAGTTACTGGAAGTGGAAGTTATTAAAAATTACTAAACTTAAGTAGTTGTCTTTAGTAAACCTTTACTTTTGTGAGGGTAAAATTGAAAAATCAAAAGATGACACAAAATTTTAATATCAAACCCCCACCTTATGTTTTATATATAGAAAAATATAGGATAGAACAAATGTAAATCAAACTAAAGTTGATTGAAAGTGGATATAATTAAGTGTGTATATCTGATTAAAACTGTTCAGGGTCCTAATCATTTAAACAAGTCAAACTAGATTCGATTCTCATGTAAATATATCATTGATTCATTCATATAAATAAAAAGTATGCATAATGCACATTGAAAATCAAAATCACCATCCTCTTATACCTCCTCACCCACCCTTCCCTCACAAAAGGAAAAAAAAAGTAAAAATATACGAGATCGAACTAAAAGAAACAAAACAACAGAGTTTGCAAGCCTATGACATGTATGTACCTTAATATCCAGACAACTCTTTTTGTCTCTTATCTCTGTACCAATAATAGAATTGAATGCCTCAAAAAGATAGTCTCTCCATCCTGTGAAGTACATACTCAGAAATAATTAAAGAAAATGTAAATTCTCAACTCTTAGGGAAACTAAAATATTGCGAAGTTAGACGCAAAATTAAAAGCTGGAATTAAAAAAATTAGGGTATATGTACCTTTAAATCCACGAGAATGGCCTCATTCTCTACCACTTTAACTTTCTTAAGATTTGGTACATCCAACTTTCTGGAACACGATTGCTTCAACTTCCTGGAGCACATTATTTTTCAAATGAGCTTCTCCAACCCCATGTTAACTCCAGAAATTGCGAGCGCAATTTCTCCAAATTTCCTTTCTTTACTCACCCCTCAATTGTCCAAGCCTTTGTTCACAACTTTCTTTTTTTAAAACAAAACTTAAATCCTAAACTACACTAAAACAATTCCTAAACTGCACAAAGCCAAAATCGTTTGTAGGAATTTAGAAATTTAGAGGCCTTCTCAGTTATTTACCAATTTTAAAAGAAAGAATCTCAAGAGCTTAATATGCATTAATGGCTAAAACCTTAATCAGCACTATGTTTTTCTACACCTATGGGTAAAAAATGAATTTACGAAAATGCCTATGTACCAAGTAGTCCATTGTTCCACAAAAGACTCAAATAACTCTATCAAATTATTAAAAAGTCCCCAAGGCATGCAGTTGAAAGTTGAAGCCATGTGAATAGTTACATATGAATTCTATATATCTTTTCCTGTACTCATATCCTTATCCCAATGATCTTCTCATTGCATACTCATCAATTAAATACATTCATAACGACGCATGTATTTGTTGGCCAGTATTATATTGAGGATTGGTATACAAATAATTGTGAGTTATTATTATTATTATTATTATTATTATACTGATCATATTCTTATCCGAATGAACTTCTCATGGCATACGTGTTTTAACGACACATGTACCTGTTGGTTATTAATGTATGATGGATCAATGTGGGTATCCTTATGTTTTATTATCACCGGCATCAATTGGTTGAAGTAGAATAATATCCGTTTAATTTTGTTAAATAAGTGGTGACTGCAGTTAAGTAAATAATCATTAGTTAGAAAAAAAATTAGTACTTTTTAGTTATAATGTTTATGTCTTACCACCATCATAACAAAACTTATTAGTTTTATAGCTAAAGTTAATATTTAATTGGAAAACTTACCATTTAATCCTGGTGCTAGAAGAGGGCCATAGCTGTTTTTTCTTGTTCTTATACTTCTACTTAAAAAATGCATGGATATTATGACAAATTATGCAAAAATATGGTTATGATTTGTGCTTACATGCCCACGCAAAAACAAAAGAAAAAAACATATTTAAGTGCTGAGCCGAAAGAGAAATTGAAAAAGATAAACACATACCTCTTTTTGTTGGATTGATTGAAAAACCAGTGTGATAATTCCAACAAACAATTGCTGAGAGATATAAATGAAGTCATGAATAGGTAAAATGAGGGATAAAGAATTCATAGGTGAGAAAGTTGAGAAACTGCAATCAACATCAAGGCAAATTTATAGAGGATAGGTATGATACCTTGCTAATGCACCTGGGAATGAAAATCCCATTTTTTATTAGTAGTTATTACACTATTCCTTACAATGGTAACCATAACTTTTATTCTTTTTCCCATAACTTTTGCTATTCTAATGGAAATAAAGTTATAAACTTACACGAGCAATATTATGGGGACAAGTCAAGAATCAAAGCCTGAAAAAACAAAATTCAAGACAATTATGTTAAAGATTGCTTCTGCGAAATTCGTTAGCCCAACGATGACTAGATCTCATCCTACAAAAGAATATTGAAGATGCAAAAGCCAAACTTTGAATTAACATGTGAAAACAAGATCTTACTTGTTATGTTTATCGTTCAATATATCTACGTCTAATATATACACACATACATGGGAGGAACCAAAGCATGGAATTTCGTAACAAAATTTATACAGATATATGCTTAAGGGGCACTCTTATACTTTTGTAAAAAAAAAAAAATTTCAGGTACTAAGTCTACTATTTACATTGGCATAAACTTTTTAGTTTGTTAAGGGAATATAAAGAACTTTTAAAATTTTGGGAGGGCAAAACCTAATTTCTATAAGAATGCACGTGAAATATTAACAATCTTTTAAGGTATATAAAAGAATTTTTAAAATCTTAGGAGGACACTCGCGCTTTTCTACCCTTCTTGCATTTGTCAAATACACATATATAAGTGTTGAGATATGTCAACTTTTTCTACAATTTTTATTAGATTGTGTTTGGTACTAAAATAATTTAGTTAATAGTTAAATAAGTCTTGTTGTTAAGATATTTGTTAACTAAAAATCATGTTGGTTTGTTAACAAATATTTTAGCTAGGATTTGCTGAGCAGAAGATTATCTTATCAAGTAGTTTTGTTAAATAGTGAGTTGATTAATGAAGAAAATAAGCTTATTTTCAGCTTTAATACAAGTCTTTTGTAAACCTATTTTTTTGCAACACTAATTAAGGTGTTGTTTATTAGTTTATGCCCTAAAAAACCAACAAAATTGTATTAAGAACTTATGTCCTAGGGGTTTTTGTTGTTTATTAAGAGTGCGTAAATTGAGTGAGGATCCTTTATCAGTTCAAAACCATGATAGGAAATAACTTTTTGTCAAATGCTTCAACTTTTAGTGATGAAATTTACCAAATTTGGGTCATTAAATTTTGGACTTATTTGGTTGTCAATAATCTATGGGTTATGGTAGACAAAAATTTTATTCCACCACTATTCAAAGAACCAATGCATGCACAAATTACAGGCCACAAAATTATATTTATACAGAGATCTAATGCCAGCATTCATATATAATTTTTTGATGCTGTTTTCATAAGGATAATGACTTACGATTTGATCGAGAATAAACTACTCTCAATTAAAATGAAAAGAAAAAAGTTTCACTATGAATTAGTTAGATTTTGGCAACTTTAAAGGGAAGCATGATGAAATCAAGGATTTAGATCCTGAAAGAATTCAAGAGGAGACCATTGATAAGTCACAAGGTATCAAATTGATTCCTAATATTTATCAAGAGTATAATATTATTGGATTTGGGTCTACAGGTTTTGCTAGTGATGACAAAAGTTATGAAGAACCATACAAAACTTCATATTTTCTGTATAGGTTCAAATATTGTAGAAGGGTGTTTCACTTTGAACCTATGAGAAGGATATTTGGATCCATTAAAAAAACATCTTTTATTTGGAGTTTAGCGTAAGAAACCAAAAGTAGTGATTTGTTGCAAGGCTAATCTTCAACTTGAAAGTCAAAAAAAGAAGTTCAGTGCAAGGCCAATTTGCAGTTGCAGAGGTTCTTACAAAAACCTTGTCCAAAACAAGGTCTAATGATTTGAGCAAACAATTCAAAATTTATAGCAAAATTGACAAGGAGTAGTGTTGAGATATGCCAACTTTCTCGGTAGATTTTATTAGATTGTGTTTGGTACTAAAATAATTTATTTAGTAGCTAATTAAGTCTTGTTGTTAGGGTATTTGTTTACCAAAGATCATGTTGGTTTGTTAACAAACATTTTAGCTAGAATTTGCTGAGTAAAGTGGGATCAAATAGTTTTGTTGACATTTTTTAGAAAATTATTAGTTGAAATTATGTTAGTTTGTTTCATGTAAATACTATAAATAGTGAGTTGATGAATGAATAATACAAGCTCATTTACAGTTTCAATACAAGTTTTTATAAGCCATTTTTTGCAATGCTCACTAAGGTGTTGTTTCTTAATTTATGTCCTAAAAACTAACAATAAGTGCACTTGTTTGAATTAGGGAAGGTACGATTATGTTCTGTCTGGTTCTGCATACTTGTTGTATTCACTATAATATTTAGTGTATATCAGTCCAAGGATAGAACAAGGGATGGGTAGGGAAGGGCCTATGTATTTTAAGCTATTTGTCCCCTTTCCCTAAAATTTTCAAAAAATATCAGGTTGATTCGGAAGTTTGTATATGCATGTGTATTTTTTCCTCGATCTCAAACTAAAATGTTTGGTTCCGTCCTTGCATCAAACTTGTTGTCTAGAATATATATGAAATATTTTAATCATGTATACTATATACCAACTATTTTACAGATAAAGATAATATGACTATACGTCAAATAATATAGTATATATGATAATCATATAAAATAGGATGAAAACACAATTGTGTCTGTCCCAAATCCCTTTTGTCCATCCCTCAAGTCAAAATTTGTTTGTGTTTAAATATAGTTTAGATATACTAGGTATGACAATGAATCGATCTTACACAAATCCAATACAAACCAGTCTTATTTTTTATGTGTTGGGGGGCTTATATTTTAAATGTGAACCATATTCATCCTCAAACCCTATATGAGAATCATAGGTTTGCTCAGAGTTTGATTTTGTACAATCCAAACTCGGATCCTCATCAAGGCTCAAACCGTATCTAAACTGACATGCACACCTTAATTATTCATTAATAGTGTAGTAGCTATGTCATAATGTTTTATTACCTAACAAAACTTTTTGTTAAGTAGTTGAGAAACTATTATGATAATTTGACATACATTTATAAGGGAGAGAGGGCAAAGGTCTTCTATTACACACTGACCTGTTATACCTGTGTTAAACTGGTTGGTTGATGTGAGTTGTTCAATATTTGGTGTATATTTTAACTAAGTTAATCTACTCCAAGACTTGTACTAATTTGTATTTTCTTGGTATAAGTCTTGGTACAAACGAATATAGTGAAAAGGTACACTAAATATTGAATAACATACACCAAATAAGAGGTATAACATAGGTGTAATATAGACTTGTGTAACAGAAAATCTTCTGCTAGATGGAGAGAAGATACTTTCTAGCGTAACGGGAATAGGAATCCCATTTTTGCTTTGTAGTTATAACATTCTGTCCTATGGCCTTTGGAATGGTAATTATCACTTCCATCTTTTCCTTGTCGCTTTTACTTTGTGAAGGAATGATGTTCCATAACTACTTTAATGGGTACAAGTCAAGAATCACAATCCTCAAAAATAAAAAACTCAAACACAATCTCGTGAAGCAAAGAATGCTTATGGCCAACTTGTTAGCCCCACAATTGTTAGATTCATCCGACAAGAGAATATTGAAGTTGCCTTTAGCCTCAAAAAGAGCAAATTCAAAGCAATCTAGAGAAGCAAAGTATGCTTCTGCCCAATTTGTTAGCCCAAGAATTGCTAAATCTCATCCCAAAAAGAATATGAAGATGCAAAAGAAAAAAATGAAGTTAACATGTAAAATTATTGAATATATTTGTTCAAATGCCTCCAATCCCCCAGGCCCCAGTCATATACTTGTTTACATTTTGATATTGGTTAGATGTATAATGTTTACTGTTAGAAGGAAGTGCTTTGATGTATAGAATTAAACCAAGGAAGAGAAGAAGAGAATTAAGGAATTGAAGAAAAGCCGAAGAGTAGGGTTCTTATTACACTTGAAAATGATTTCGTTTCTGTAGGTATGTGCTCACCGTGCATATGTTACCTAAGAGAAAGAAGGAGGAGGTAGAAAGCTAATAGTTAGGGAATAATAGATAATCCTCAGTATAAAACCTCACCCCTCTTTTAGGCAAGTTTGACGGACTTGACCCGAGGAACAATTAAGTTGGTGGCCGGTACAACAGCAATAACTTAAACGGTCAATATTTCATCGGACTCAAGTCTAGGTATTTTTGTGGACTTACTAAAGTATACACAAGTTTATGATATCCAAAAAAACGAACAGAATTTTGAGGCAACATTTCAACATGTACAACGTACCTGAGAATTAATTTTTGTACGAACAAGAATAGTTTTAGAGAAGCTTCGTCATGCTAATCATTAATTAGGAATTTGTGGGAAATTTTCAGGAGGAACAAGCTGTAAACGTGGCTAATTTTTCTAGCTCATGATACCTCTCAAACAATTTTGTTTCTCTTGAGATTTCCCGTTAAGTAGCACGATATCGAGCACAATGGGCATACCGTTGAGTACAACAAGAGGAAACAAATGTTTCTCTTTCTCTTTGGTGTTTGGATAGGTTATTATTTAAAATATTATTTGGAATAATTATTGTAACATTTTTTATGATGTGATGTATGTGAGATAAAAAGGTGATTAAAAATATAAAAAAGATAAGTTGGAAAATGTATTTATGATGCAAGTGAAATATAATTTGGGTATATGATAGGGTATAATCTGTTAGTAATTTTATTATTAATTTCCCCTTCTATCCCTGACGAATATTGTGTTAATTGCTGGTATTTACTCATATTTGGTATTTGGAATCAAGTTCAGGAGTGAAGCAGAAATATTACCAAATGGAGGGACTTTCTAGAGCATATTACTAAGGGTCAATTCAGCAGGGCCTAGCATTGGTAATTCACCATCTCAATTTCGGTGGGGGCCCATGGAAAAGACCACTAGCCATTTGGCCAAA